AGGAAGGAAGGAAGGAAGGAAGGAAGGAAGGAAGGAAGGAAGGAAGGAAGGAAGGAAGGAAGGAAGGAAGGGCTTTAAAGACTCAGTCTTTCCAGTACACATTCATTGTACTGTAACCAGTTCATGTAAAAAGGTCAAGTTTAAAATGCTTTCTTTCCACTTCCTTGCCAGTCATTACCTGGTACCCACAAATGTTTTTCTCAGCAATACTATATAATTTTAAAAGATCTCAAAAAGCATATAAATAATGATTCTGTACCTTCAGAGAAATTAAATCAGTCTTAGTCACCAGGTTTCTGGAAAAGATGTAAATTATAGACCACTCAAACAAAGCCACAAAAATAGGCACCAAAACTTAGCAGCAAATATCACCTAAATGGAAAGCAGATATGTATAGAGAAATAATAGCATGAAATTGAAGAGAAAGAAAAGGATAATACAAAGTACTTCCAGGAAGCATGCTAAAAGCCAATTCACCGTAAGAGGAGAAATAGGAAATTGATGTAAGTTGAAATGATGAATTTAGTTCTATAAAATTCCCTTCTCAATTCTAGTAATAACTTGCCATCATGACCTATAACCAATCTTTGATTAATTTATATTATGTATATTAATTATGGTGACAAAAGAAGGTATGACTTTGGATGGTGGGCACACAGAGCAATATACAGATCTTGTAACATAGAAACTCACATGGCTGAAACCTATATGTTCATATTAAACACTGTCACCCCAATAAATTTAATAGTGTTATAAAAAATAAAGTCTGGGGGGGAAAATATATATAAGTAAACAGTTACCTGCCATATGAAGGGAAATAGGTATTGTGATTAAAAATATACTATATGAGAAAGACATTTGGTATATGATGGGAATATATAAAATTTATAAAAATACATAAAAACAAGGACAGCCTAGTAATGGTACAGACTCTGAAGGATTAATAGGAAGGCAGGCTGATGAAGAAGAGGACTGAGATGTTGCAAGAAAAGAATTAAGATGGGCTCTTTTGTTGAATTACGAGAAATTCACATTTCCTAAGTAGTTTGCAAGGTGGGAAGGAGGTGAGCAGGGGAAGAAGTCATTGGAGATGAGGCTGGACAAAGAGACAGGATAGATGGGGCACCGCCTTGTGTGCCACGTCAAAAAATTCATATACAACTAGAAATACTGGAAATCATAAAGAATTTTATGCAAAGAAGAGTCAATAATAGAAGCAATAGGTACAAGTTACGAAGCTACTGTAGAAGTAACTTTGATGAGCAATAAGGGAGGGCTTGAACATTTGAAATATAAAGAAGAAAAATGGATTTGGTGCGATGGCTAGATTGACAAGAGGTTGAAGAACAGAAAAAGAATTTACAAGAGGCTTGTCACCTTTGTTGTTCAAGTAGGTAGGAGGTGGTACCCTTAAGAGAGCTATAAAATGCAAGCAGAGAAAGAAGTTTTAGACCAGAATAAAAGAAATCCCACTTTTTAAATTGTGTGATTGAAATTAACAAAGATTAGATATTGAGTATCTACCCTCTGTCACCTGGGGATATTAACAGAAATGCAAGGAAGTGAGATGTTCGTCATAAAGAATTAATCATCATGCTCTGCTTGATGTTCCAAAAATGTAGCATACGATCTCCATTAATTTGCATTAAGCCATACTAATTGCTTCAGGAGCAGTTCTGGAACTGAGGAGAGTAAGAAAACAAGGAGCTTCTGGCCTCTTTAAGATTAACTCAAGTTCTATCTTTGGGCATCACAATGCAGTTCATTTTCTGTTTTATTAGCTCACACATTTCATTCCTTCAAAGCCTATTTGTTGGTCCCTACTATGTATCAGACACTGTTCTTTGTGCTAGGGATACAGCCATTTAAAAAAAAAAAAGAAATCTCTGTGAGAAAGAGAAAAGCAAAGATTTGACTCCAAGTTTCTGGGCCTAGGCAATTCAAAAAATGAAACTGTCACCTATTAAGATGGGAAAGACCATGGGAGAAATGGACTTGGGAAGAATGTTAAATTGGAAATATCTGTTAACCTATTAGTGATCTTTGTCAAAGAGTAGAGAAGAAAATTGGACACAGGAGACTCCAGTTCAAGAAAGAGATGACCAGAGCAAAAGTATGTAAACACCAAGATCTTAGATGGCTCATCTAGGAGGTAGCAGAGAAAGAAGAAAAAAGGACATAGAAGAGCTGAGAGGAGCATTTCAAATTGTAGGTTTCAATTTGTAGGTTGAGGAAATAAAGTAAAAAGCCAGCAGTGAAGTAGAAGATGAGATTTTCCACATCAGTGGCATTGGAAAGTATGGGAGGAAAGTATCTCAGCAGAGAGAGGAATCGACTGAGTCAAATGCTCTAATAGGTCAAATAAGATGAGTAATCAATTACCACTGCCCTTGCCAAACAGATGCCTGGAAAAGAATAGTTTCTACAAAGGGAGACAGTTGCTGGCCCAAGTGGAAAAACGTTTGCCTTCTCACCTGCACCTCATGCAACCAGTAAACAAAAGCATACAGTTAAAATTGGCTCTAAATATTCCCTTGCTCCAAATGCATCTGTCTACTTTAGAAATACTGCTGCTTAAACTTTTGTTTAAGCAAGTCTATGTAAAACACATCTCTTTAGGTGTAAGATCACAGACTCAATTCTAATCATTTGAAAAGCAAACATTTTAAAGCTCATTTTGTTATTCTTGTCCAGTCATCAAAAAGAAGCCTTAAATGAGAAAAGGTATTTTTAAGTAACTTCTAGCTGGAAAGGTGTGTGTGTCCACCTCGGATGCAGTACAGTTGCGGATTTCCTCAAGGGCAGCAGCAGACTGAAGATGCACTACAAGGACTGAGACCGGCAAAGCCCATACAGAGTCAACAGGCAGGAAAGTGAACAGCCAAAACGGTAATTACAAGGAGCGGGTCAAATGTCAGCAATGCTGTAAACTCGAAGGTAAAGACACATACCAGGGGACAATAAGGTAAATAAACTGTGGACAGAAATCTCAGATATTCAATATGAGGAACAGGGCTGTTCAAAGGCAACCTTAAGAACACAGCAAATGGTCAAAGAAAAATCATTAGAAGTAGAAAAAAGGTTAACAACAAAACAGAAGAACATGCCAGAATCTATATCATTTAATCAGCAAAGTAGCCTTCTGCCCTTGAGAAGCAAGTGAGGGTTCTTCACATGTGAAGAGTACTTCAAATTTCCTCCAGTTCACAATTAACTGTTACTACTATGCTCAGTGCAAATATGAGAAAAACGAAACATTTCATGCATTTTTAACATTTGGTCTCTGACCCCTTTAGGACAAACAATTTTAAGCACAAAATTCGAGATATACCAACAGGTGGGATGCCTGAGT